GTGCCCGCCCGGCTTGGCCCAGAATCCCAGCTCCCTGTGCTGAACCGCCCGCGGTGCACGGGAAACAGCCCTGGCGATGGGCCCGGGCTGGCGGCAGTCTGTCCCAGTCTGTCCCAGTCCATCCCAGTCCGTCCCAGTCTATCCCAGTCTGTCCCAGTCCATCCCAGTCCATCTCAGTCCATCCCAGTCTGTCCCAGTCTATCCCAGTCCGTCCCGGTCCCTTCCCAGCAGCCGCCACCGTTTCCCGGGTCCTGCCCCCCCCCCCCCCCCAGAGCTGCCGCCGGACGCCGCCCCCCCAAGATGCTGACGGGGGTCGGGGCTCCGTCTTTGGCTTCGTCTCCCTGGGCTGGGGCTCGGCCTCCGCCTGCGGGAGGAGCTGAGGGGGGTCCCCGGGGGTCGTGTGTCCCCCCCGGAGCGTGTGTGCCCCCCCGAGACCCCCATCCCGCTGTCACCCCCTTTTCTCTCCCAACGGAGCTCCTGCCCCAGCTCCCGCTCCCCCCTGGGAGGGGCTTTGGGAGCCCCCCTTTGCCTTGACCCCGGGAGCCCTGCGGGGGCAGTGGGGGCTGCCCAGGGCGGGCACTGGCCCAGGGAGATCGCCCCCCGCCCCCGCGGCAGCCGCTGATCGCGGCGCTTCCCCCGCTTTGGCCCCAAAGCGGCGCCTTTAAGGCCGAGTTGAAGCGCAGCTTAAGCGAGTTCAGCTCGGCCCGGCCCGGGGGTCCCGCCGCTCGTGCCCGTCCAGGGGGCCCGGGGGTGGCGGGGGGACCCGGGCCGGTGCCAGGAGGGGTCCCGAAGGGGATCCCGGGGCATTCCCGGCAATTCCCCCGTGCCCGCCCCCCGCGCTCCCCCGGCCACTTTCGCTTTCGCGGCTCCCGAACTGCGCCCAGCGGGGCCAGCGGAGCAGCGCGATGGCTCCAGCGCTGGGGCTGGGGGTGCTCCTGGCGCTCCTGGGGGTCTCGGGGGGGCAGCCCGAGGGTAAGTGGGACCCCTGCAACGGGCAACTCCTCAACCTTTATTCCCGGGCACCGGCACTTCCCTGAACCTCCATTTCCGGGCACCGGGACCCCCCTGCACCCTCTCCCTCCGCACCGGGACCCCCTGAATCCCGATTGCTGAGCACGGGAACCCCCTGAGCCCCCATTCCCGGAAGGAGACCCCCCTGAACACCCATTCCCGAGTACCGGGACCCCCCTGAACCCCTATTTCCGGGTACTGGGACCCCCCTGCACCCTCTCCCTCCACACCCGGACCCCCTTAAACCTCCTTATCTGGCACCGGGACCCCCCAATTTCCATTCCTGGGCACGGAAACCCCCCTGAACCACCATTTCTGGGCACTGGGAGCCCTCTGAGCCCCCTTATCCTGCACTAGGACCCCCTGATCCCCCATCCCCAGCTCCAGGACCCCTCTGAACTCCCTTATCTTCAACAAATACACCCCTGTACCCCTTTTCCTGCCAATCCCGCCTCTCCCAGCCCTCCGATCTTCCCTTTTCCTTGACCCTGGGACCCCCACTCCTGCTCCTCCCAGACCCCAGCCCCCACTTTCTTCAACACCGGGGACCACTGGACCCCCCTTTCTTGGGCACAGGGACCCCCTGGATCCCCTATCCCACCTCTCCCAGTCCCAACCCCCCCTTTCCTTGAACCTTGGACCCTTCCCAGCTCTCCCAGCTCTCCCAGTTCTGCTCCCTTGACCCTTGGACCCCCCAAACCCTACAATCTCTGTGACCCCCCCAGTTCTCCACTCCCTGTGCTTCCTGCAGGGGGTCCCAGGCACCAGGAACGCCCTCGACCGCAATTCCTGGGCACCGGGACCCCCCTGAACTTCCACTGGGACCCCCCTGCACCCCCTCCCCCAGCACCTGGACTTCCCTAAATGCTCTTATCCAGCACAGGGACCCCCTGAACCCCCATTCCCAGGACTGGGAACCCCCCTGAACCCCATTCCTGGGAAGGGAACTCCCCTGAACATCCATTCCTGGGCATTGGGACACCCCTGAACCCCCATCCCTGGCTCCAGGAACCAATTGAACCCCCTTATCCTGCACCAACACCTCCCTGCACCCCCTTTCCCGGCCATCCCACCTCTCCCAGACCCCAGACCTCCCTTTTCCTTGACCCTGAGACACCCTGGACCCCCCTTCCTGCCTTTCCCAGACCCTAAACCCCATTTTCTTCAACAATGGGGCCCCCTGGGCTCCCCTTTCCTGGGCACAGGGACCCCTGGATGCCCCATCCCACCTCTCCCAGTCCCTACACTCTCCTTCCCTTGGCCCTGGGATCCCCAAACCCCCATCCTGGCTCTCCCAGCTCTCCCAGTTCCCCCTTTCCTTGACCCTTGGATGCCCCCAAACCCTCCAAATCTCCGTGTCCCCCCAGTTCTCCACTCCCTGCGTTACCTGGCTGTGGCGGTGACAGAGCCCATCCCGGGGATCCCTCAATACGTGGAGATTGGATACTTGGACGGGATCCCCTTTGTGCGCTACGACAGCAAGTGGGGCCGGGCGGAGCCGTTGACGCCGTGGATGGCGGCCGGAGTCGAGCCGGGATATTGGGATGAACAGACCCAGATCAGCGAGAGGATCCGGCTCGTGGCTGCCACCGACCTGGAGACAGTGGGGGGCCGGTACAACTGGAGTGGGGGTGAGTGGGGGGAGCCAGGGAATGGGGAGATGTGTGGGGCTGGGATGTGGATCCAAGGTGCTCCAAGGTGCTTGGATATGGATCCAAGGTGTGATCCGGGATGACGCTCTGTGGGTCTCCATTGGACTCTGGGGCTCCATAGGACTGGAATGGGGCTCCATGGGGCTGGGACACAATTCCAGGGGTCTCCATGGATCTGATCCCACCCCCCAGGTCTCCACACATGGCAGCGGGTTTGTGGCTGTGACCTCCTGTCCGACAGGAGTGTCCACAGAACCACTCGGCACGGCATCGATGGGCAGGATTTCATCTCCTTCTCCCCGGAGACCGGGACCTTCGTGGCGGCCGATGGAGCTGCCCGGATCATCCAGAGGCGCTGGAAATCCGAAGGGTACGAGGCTCTTCAGCCCGACCTGGAACAGAGATGTGGGGAAGAGCTCCGGATATACGTCGGATACGGGCGGGAGGCGCTGGAGCGCAAAGGTGAGTGAGACAGAATTCCCATGGGAATGAGGGATTTGGGAATGTGGGATTTGGGAGGGTGGAACTGAGGAACATGAGAATTCCCGTGGGAATTCCATGGATGAATCTGAGTCATCCAACTCCCATGGGAATTCCATGCGTGGATCCCACTGTTGTCCCACCCAAGTGGGAATTCTGTGGATGGATCTCACTCCAATCCCATTTCCATGGGAATTCCATGAATGGATCTCACCATTATCCCATTCCAGATCCCCCCCGATGTCCACGTGTCCGGGAAAGAGGAACACGGGATCCTGAC